CCACTGTAAGTTGGGGACGGTCTGTGTTTGACTTTGGAGTGCTTTCAGGACACTTAGTGGACATTTAACTGTTTGTTGGATGAATAGATGATGTTTGCTCAGGCTGCTATTACTTTATATAGACCATTCAGAGAAGTTCACCGGTTATGGAGGAAGTAAGTTAGCTTTTTTTTGAGGATATTCTTAAAATGAAAAATCAGTAAATGGGCCAAAATATTGTAAAGTCTGTTCAAATAAATGTTGATTTCTGTGCTTTAGTGTCTGTTTAGATTGTAGAGTAAGTATTCTTATTCATATTCACTTTGTTTCCAACCTCTAGCTTAAATCTCAGTTTTATTTTGTTTCCCTAAAAAACTCACCAGTGGGCATATTTTTATGTGCATTAGGTGAACTAACTAGTGATTTTTAACTTTTTTCCCTGATATGAATAGCCAAAAAACCCCCACAAACAAAAAAGCAGATGCCAGTCTGTTGATCAGTTGCATTTATGGCTATTAAGAGTGTTTTCTGCATGTGCTCCCCTACTTCTGAGACAGGAAATCAATTTCAATTAAATTTTTTTCCTTTTAATGAGATGGAGTCTTGCTACATTGCCCAGACTGGTCTTGAATGCCAGTGCTCAAGTAGTCCTCCCTCCTCAGGCTCCTCAGTAGCTGGGTCTGCAGACTTGTGCCCCTGCACCTGGCTTCAATTTCCATTAAATTCTAAAGTGCTGAGACTGGAATGGAATATGTAAAGTAACAGAGGTCACAAGATTAATGAAATTTCTAGGATAAGAGACTAGCACAAAAGCAGGAGGCTGAGTTAATTTTGAGCAAAATCTTAAATATTAGATGGGATTTATTGATGGGGATCTTTGTGGTGGGATCATGTGGAAATTTTTCTTTACTCTATGTCATTATTGGGGCCCTCCCAGCCTTAGAAAGTTGGACAGGGCCGGGCGCGGTGGCTCACGCCTGTAATCCTAGCACTCTGGGAGGCCGAGGCAGGCGGATTGCTTGAGTCAGGAGTTCGAAACCAGCCTGAGCAAGAGCAGAAACCCATCCTTACATAAATAGAAAGAAATTAATTGGCCAACTAATATATAATAGAAAAATTAGCCGGGCATGTGTGGCGCATGCCTGTAGTCCAGCTACTCGGGAGGCTGAGGCAGAGGATCGCTTGAGCCCAGGAGTTTGAGGTTGCTGTGGCTAGGCTGACGCCATGGCACTCACTCTAGCCTGGCCAACGAGTGAGACTCTGTCCTCAAAAAAAAAAACAACAATTTTTCATTCTCTAATAATTGATAGTATACACAATATTTAGGGGAGAATTACAAACAATGGCAAGACTAAGTGCTGAAGCAATGATCTGACAAATTTGAAGCAATCCGATTCTACTTATAAAACTGTATATATAAAAAAAATTTTTTTTTGAGACAGAGTCCTACTTTGTTGCCCAGGTTAAAGTGAGTGCCATGGCATCAGCCTAGCTCACAGCAACCTCAAACTCCTCCTGCGCTCAAGCGATCCTCCTGCCTCAGCCTCCCTCCCCGAGTAGCTGGACTACAGGCATGCGCCACCATGCCCAGCTAATTTTTTCTATATATATTAGTTGACCAATTAATTTCTTTTTTTATTTATAGTAGAGACGGGGTCTCGCTCTTGCTCAGGCTGTTTTCTAACTCCTGACCTTGAGGCAGTCCGCCCATCCTCGGCCTCCCAGAGTGCTAGGATTAGCAGGCGTGAGTCACCGCAGGCGCATATATATCAAAATTGATGCTGCTGCTTAAAAGAGAAATTCAAACTCATATAAATGTTTAATCTCTTTGTTTTTAATATAGACCTTAAATAATACAAAATATTAGTGCTGCTTTAATAGCAGAATTAGTATTTCATTTTTCTTGTCTGTGCTATTATTTTAGCAAAAAACCAAAAAAAATTTTATATTAATAATAATTATAAAACTTTTCATAATTATTGTGGAAACATTTAGTAGTATTATTAGCTTATACAGGCTGCAATGCTTCAAATTTTGTATCATTTTCAAAGGCAGAGATTACTAGAAAAGATGTTTTCTACACAAGGATTAAAATGAGCACTATCTTATGGACAGCCATAACCAAATATGAAAAACATACAATTTTCAGCACTGATAAAAGAAAAACCTAAAACATTGAGATCACCTAGTCTATCTGGCTTCTGTTCCTCATTGGGAAAAATCAAGGTGAAAGACACCCTTCCAAATGCCATTCCCACTGCCACTCCTGGGTTCTTACTGTCTTTTTTTTTTTGAGACAGAGCTCACTTTGTTGCCCAGGCTAGAGTGAGTGCCGTGGCGTCAGCCTAGCTCACAGCAACCTCAAACTCCTGGGCTCAAGCAATCCTGCTGCTTCAGCCTCCCGAGTAGCTGGGACTACAGGCATGCGCCACCATGCCTGGCTAATTTTTCTATATATATTAGTTGGCCAATTAATTTCTTTCTATTTATAGTAGAGACGGGGTCTTGCTCTTGCTCAGGCTGGTTTTGAACTCCTGACCTCCCGAGCAATCCACCGCCTCGGCCTCCCAGAGTGCTAGGATTACAGACGTGAGCCACCGCGCGTCAAAAATTGCTATTTTTAGGTAGTCTATAAATGGTTGTTGAATTTATGAATGATTGTTGATCGTTTAGAGAAAAAATTTCTTAGCATGACCTTGATTTCTAACCTCCCTTCCAATTTGTTGTGTTGCCTTTTATACTTCTATATGAAAAAGTATTATAATTAAGGTGAAACCATGCCATAACTTAGTATGATTTAGTAATATTTGAAATTTATTATAATAGAAAACAGGGCAATTCTTTCAGATTTGAATGCTGCATTACTGACTTTCTAGAGTCTCTGAAAGTTGCAGAGCAAATTTGATAGTATCCCTAAATATCACTCTAACTTACAAAGGATGCCTTATCAAAGTTATATTATGCTGTTTGGCTTATTATATTGCTATATTTTCTTTTGTTTCATGGTTGCAAGGTACCCAACAGTTTTGTAGATTTTTTTTAGAACATGAATTCTTTATTTATTTTTTTATTTGAGCATATTATGGGGGTATAAGTGTTAGGGTTACTTATATTGCCCATGCCCCCCTCCCTTCTCGGGTAAGAGCTTCAAGCATGTCCATTCCCCAAACGTTGCACATCTTACTCATTGTGGTTGTACATACCCCTTCCTTCCTCCCCCCTAGAAGATTTTTAAGATTAGAAAAATTCACAAAATGTGTACAGTGCTAATAAAAAAAGGATTTATTGTAGATACAAACCTTTTCCTCGTTTTCATTCTAGAATTCTTAGCTTTTCTTGCCCATTGGATTGCTCTTATGGGTGCAGATCTCTTCTTTACCATATTTTTAACAATCTGTGGCTTCTGGCTGTTTCCAGCAATAGAGGGTTGGCAGTCTCCTCTTTTTAACAAGGAGAGAGCACCCTTAAGCATCTATAGCGATAAGGTACTTATTAAGGAGAGGGCTAACCCGAAGTAGATCTTGGGACCAAAAAGTAGTTGCCTTTATGATAGTTTGGCAGGCGCTCAATTGTTAATCCCCAGTCGTCAAATGTGGAGGGTTTCCTCTACATGTGAGTGTGTGTGTGATTTTAGTAAAACTTAATTAGCACTACAGCCCAGTTACTGTTTAGTTCATTGCAGAGTACCAGGCTCTGATTCTGGCTTGGACCCTGCTAGTGACCTAAGCAAATCAGCATATCCTTGGCTGCTTTCTGCAAACTCACGGTTCTTTGAAGTTATCTAAAACAAACACAAGATTTAAAATTATATTCTACCAGCTGTGTGTGATGGCTCACACCTGTAATCCTAGCCCTCTGGGAGGCAGAGGAGGGTGGATTGCTCGATGTCAGGAGTTCGAAACCAGTCTGAGGGAGACCCTGTCTCTGCTAAAAATAGAAAGAAACTAATTGACCAACTAAATATATATACACAAAAAATTAGCCGGGCATGGTGGCGCATGCCTGTAGTCTCAACTACTCAGGAGGCTGAGGCAGGAGGATCACTTGAGCCCAGGAGATTGAGGTTGCTGTGAGCTAGGCTGACTCCACGGCACTCACTGTAGCCCAGGCAACAAAGTGAGACTTCTGTCTCAAAAAAAAAAAAAAAAAAAAAATTATATTCTACCCTAATGTAGCCTTATAAAATTTAATATAAAGATTGCACTTCAAATTAGTTACTACCCTGTAACATTGATGTTCCCAGAAGATGCCATGATGTTTATCTTGGAGTTTTATGTATTCCCTGACCCACTGCCTCATACCCTTGGGGCTGGTTATGCTTCCATTTGAGAAGCTCGGGACCCAGAGGATCTATTTGGTCTCTTGCAGCTATCATATGCTATAATATTTTAAATAAACTAGAGTTTATTCTTTAGTTTTAAGAAGTTATACTTTTAAGAAATTTTAAGGCTGGGCATGGTGGCTCACACCTGTAATCCTAGCACTCTGGGAGGCTGAGGTGGGCGGTTTGCTCAAGGTCAGGGGTTCGAAACCAGCCTCAGCAAGAGGGAGACCCCAACTCTACTAAAAATAGAAAGAAATTAATTGGTCAACTAAAAATATATAGAAAAAATTAGCCAGGCATGGTGGCGCACGCCTGTAGTCCCAGGTACTTGGGAGGCGGAGGCAGAAGGATCACTTGAGCCCAGGAGTTTGAGGTTGCTTTGAGCTAGGCTGATGCCAAGGCACTCTAGCTCAGGCAACAGAGTGAGACTCTGTCTCAAAAAAAAAAAAGAAAGACAATTTAAATCTATAACAGGGAAAAATATGATTGACTGATTTGCATGATTTAACTTCTTTCGCTAAAAATTAAAGATTGCAATTCTATTGTATGTAAAAGCTGTTTCATCAGAAACTACATGCAATTTAAGAAATGCATTGCAAAGTTAGAAAAATCCCTTGTAGATGTCATCTTTGTTGCTTTCAATCTTTCTTTGCTGCAATTCTGCTTTCTTCTTTCCTGGCTGCTAATTGGATTAAAGACTCTTTTGCCAACCATGGCATCTGGAGATGACAGTCCTATCTTTGAAGATGATGAAAGGTAAATGTCTTGCATTGCAATAAAACTAGTCTTCGAAATATTCAAGATTATTGTGATTATTTAGAAGAATTATTTATCCAAGCTACTGTGTTAAGAACACATTTTGTAAAATTGCAGAATGCATGGTTCTACCTTTTTATGATTTAGAGTAAGTATAGTAAATACCTGGCATGGAATGGAAGTGGCCACCAGTAACATGCCATTCTTTTCTATAGAACCTTGATGCAAGGTCTCCTCTCAGCACAGAGGTCTTGGCAACCACTTCAAAATGATATAAAATCCATTTACCATCTCTAGTTTGCAGCATACAAAGGTGATAAGAGTGAACAAAGAGGAAGATGTAGTTAAGACAACAGGCTTTATAGCCAGAGTCCTAGCTTTAAATCCTACCTCTGCCACTTAATGTCATTGTCACCTTAGGCAAACCCTTAGCCTTTCTGAGCCTCATCTGTAAAATAAGGATACTAATAGTACTCATCTCCTGGTGATTCTGAGTTAATATATTTAAAGCTCTTATAACAGTGACTGGCACACAGTAAGTACTTAATAGCTATTAGCTGTGATCATTATTACTGTAATAAATGTTAACTTTTCTCAAAGCTAAAAAGATATATCAATATCAAAATATTATATATATTATATACAGTATATGTCTTTCACATAGGATATATACTTTATAAAAATATTAATATCAAAAATATATGTTTAAATCATGCCAGAGATTTTTTTTTTTTTTTGAGACAGAGTCTCACTCTATTGCCCTGGCTATAGTGCCGTGGCATCAGCCTAGCTCACAGCAACCTCAAACTCCTAGGCTCAAGCAATCCTCCTGCCTCAGCCTCCTGAGCAGCTGGGACTACAGGCATGTGCCACCCTGCCTGGCTAATTTTTTTTATTCTTGGTAGAGAAGGGGTCTCGCTTTTGCTCAGGCTGGTCTGGAACTCCTGAGCTCAAACAGTCCACCCCCCTCGGCCTCCCAGAGTGCTAGGATTACAGGTGTGAGCCACTGCACCCAGTCCCATGCCAGAGATTTGTGACAAACCAGAATCGTTAATTTTTTAAATAAGATTTCCAGTAGTAATGCCAAGAATTACTGTTTTTCATAATATTTTTAAATTATTTTTCTTCCTGTTATTGGGCATTTCTTCCACAACTGCTTTTTTCTCAGTCTTAATATAATAAATTAGAACCCATTTTTATTAAAACAAATGCCTAGTCATTAGTTTAAGTTTGGAAGATCTGAAGAATTCTTATTTTGGAGTGATTAGACCTGAAAAAGAAAAAATTAAATCCTTCACTTTTAAAACACTGTAATTTTAATACTATAGGAGAAGAGTAGAGACTTTTTACTGACCTTTCCATGTACTGTACTGCAGCCTAGCCAAGAATACTATCCAGGACAAACTAAAGGATTCTTAATCCTATTAATATCAAGGTTACTTTTTTTAGAATTAATCGGACTATATACCCATATATAGTAGTTGTATCTTAAAAGAAGAGTGAATAAGAGGGAGAAAATGTTACATGTACTGTGAGTAGGATTTCTTAGGTAATATCACTTTAATATTTTGAAATTTTAGAAGTTTCAATCTGATATTTTCATCCTGGAAGGATTAATTGGTTATTTTATTACTATTTTTTCTCCATTTTAATTGCTTTATTTTATTCCTTTAGCCCTCCTTACAGCCTGGAAAAAATGACAGATCTCGTAGCCGTTTGGGATGTTGCTTTAAGTGACGGTGTCCACAAGATTGAATTTGAACATGGAACCACATCAGGCAAACGAGTAGTATATGTGGATGGGAAGGTAGGAAAAAAAATATGTTACTTATAAAATATGGTATACAGAGAAACTTGATTTTGTTAATGTAGCTTCTTCATATGTAAATCCAAGGCTTTTTTTCTTATAGTGGTTATCTTTATGTTTTTGTACAAAGCAATAATACTAATAATACTTATAGAATTCATAGACTATCACATCTGCTATTTAAACTTAAAATGCCTTTATTTTATAAAACCTTGTCATCATGAACAAATAAAATTGCATCTAAATAGCACTACCTTTGTTCACTTTAATTACATTATTTCTAAAATTAAAAGTTAATTTTCTTCCATTTGTGTGTTTTTAAACTTTTATATTTTGTAACTTAGGAAGAGATAAGAAAAGAATGGATGTTCAAGTTAGTGGGCAAAGAAACCTTCTGCGTTGGAGCTGCAAAGACAAAAGCAACCATAAATATAGATGCTGTCAGTGGTTTTGCTTATGAATATACTCTGGAAATTAATGGGAAAAGTCTCAAGAAGTATATGGAGAACAGATCAAAAACCACCAATACTTGGGTATTACACTTGAATGGTGAGGACTTTAGAGTTGTTTTGGGTAAGTTAGTGCTGTTTTTGCAGAATTTATTGTTTTGTGTTTTTTTTTTATGATAGCTGTTTACTTAGTTCCTCTAACTATCCAGACTTTTATGGAACTTTGAAAAGGAGAAGGAGTGTAAGTGTAGGTGTATTTCTAATGTGCTCAGTGGGATTGAAGTATTCATTTAACCCGCCATTTTATATATGATATCTTAGAACAGGTTTTATAGTGATGTATTTGAAGATTATAAACTTAGGTTAAAAAAAGGGTAACATTGATATAGATATTTGTTATTTGGCATTTCCCTTTATAAGTATATTTTAAAGACAGGTAGAAATTTAGGCTTCATCAGAGAGTACATTTTCTGTAGGTAGTAATAGGTATAGGACTGCATCAGATGAAGATGGTCAAAGTACAGATAAAATAGATTTTTTTTAAAGTAACTTTTTCTCTCTTCTGGTTACTTCTAGTATTTCCTGCATCTCATATCACTAAGCTAAGACTGTTTAGGTCATCTCATTAATTCATTGATTCATTTCTTTAGATAATATTTATAGGATAAATATTATATAACATTTAATAAATATTGATTTTAGTATTTAATATTAAATCATTATAATATAGAAAACAAAGTATATTAAAACCTTAATATTTTAAATATTAATATTTAATATTACACAATAATAAATGAACAAAATGTTGGTTAACATACCAAGCATTAAGCATTCATAGATGAAGAGACCTTGTCCATGCCTTTAAAGAGTCCACAGTCTAGTTGGATGCTAGCAAATACCTTTTTTTAAGAATGAAAAATATTTATCAAGTAATAAATGCACATAGGTTAAAAAAAAGAAACCAAAAACTCCTGAGTAGCTTATTTATTGAAGAAATTGAATTGATTTGTCTTGAAGAGTTTCCTATGGTCTAGATTTTGCTGATTGCATGCCTCTGATGTTCCTCTGTCTTCTATATTTCCTGTAAATTGATAGTTGAGTCTGAAGAATCAGTCAAATTTAGGTTTAATTTTTTTTAAGCAACAAAATCTTATATTAATATATATAAATCTTTCTAATGGGAAACATTAGGAATCTTAGCTTAACAAGGCGCAAGCTTCAAATTGTATCATTCTCAAAGGCAGATATTAACTAGAAAGATGTTTCATACCAAGGATTAAATGAGCACTATCTTAGGAACGCATAACCAAAATATTGAAGAAAATCATACAATTTTCAGACTGATAAAGAAAACCTAAAACAATGAGATCACCTAGTCGTATCTGGCTTCTGTTCCTCATTGTGGAAAAATCAGGTGAAAGACCCCTTCCAAATGGCCATTCCCCACTGCACTCCTCTGGGTTCTTACTGTTTTTGATTTTTTTGAGACAGAGTCTCACTTTGTTGCCCAGGCTAGAGTGAGTGCCGTGGCGTCAGCTAGCTCACAGCAACCTCAAACTCCTGGGCTCAAGCAATCCTTGCTGCTTCAGCCTCCGAGTAGCTGGGACTACAGGATGTGCCACCATGCCTGGCTAATTTTTCTATATATATTAGTTGGCAATTATTTCTTTCTATTTATAGTAGAGATGGTCCGCTCTTGCTCAGCTGGTTTTGAACTCCTGACCTCGAGCATCCCCGCCTCGGCCTCTCAGAGTGCTAGGATTACAGACGTAGCCACCGCGAAAAATTGCCATTATTTTAGTAGTCATATAACATGGTTGTTGAATTTATGAATGATTGTTTGACTCGTTTAGGAAAAAATTTCTTAGCATGACCTGATTGTTAACCTCCTTCAATTTTTGTGTTGGCCTTTTATACTTCATATGAAAATATATCAATTAGTAGAACATTGGCATAACGTTAATGATTTATAATATTGAAATTTATTATAATAACAAACAGGCAATTCTTTCAGATTGAATGCTGCATTACTGAAATTTCTAGAGTCTTGAAAGTTGAGAGAAATTTAATAGGTACCCTAATAACTCTAGACTTAAAAGGATGCCTTTATCAAAAGGTTTATATTATGCTTTTGCTTATTATATTGCTATATTTTCTTTTTGTTTTCATGTTGCAAGGTACCCAACAGTTTGTAGATTTTTTTAGAATGATTCTTTATTATTTTTTTATTGAGCATATCATGGGGGTATAGGTGTAGGGTTACTTATATGCCCATGCCCCCTCCCTTCTCGAGTAGAGCTTCAAGCATTCCATTCCCCAAACGTTGCACATCTTACTCGTTTTGTTACATACCCTTCCTTCCTCCCCCCTAGAAGATTAGATTAGAAAAATTCACAAAATGTGTACAGTGCTAATAAAAAGGAATTATTGTAGATACAAACCTTTTCCTCGTTCATTCTAGAATTCTTAGCTTTTCTTGCCATTTGTGCTCTTATGGGTGCAATCTCTTCTTACATATTTTTAACAATCTGTGTTCTGGCTGTTTCCGCAAGAAGAGGGTTGGCAGTCTCCTCTTTTAAAGGAGAGCACCCTTAAGCATCTATAGCGATAAGGTACTATTAAAGAGAGGGCTAACCCGATAGATCTGGCAAAAGTAGTTGCATTTATGATAGTTTGGCAGGCGCTCAATTGTTAATCCCAGTCGTCCAAATGTGGAGGGTTTCTCTACATGTGGTGTGTGTGTTTAGTAAACTTAATTAGCACTACAGCCCAGTTACTGTTTAGTTCATTGCAGAGTACCAGGCTCTGATTCTGGCTTGGACCCTGCTAGTGACCTAAGCAATCAGCATATCCTTGCTGCTTTCTGCAAACTCACGGTTCTTTGAAGTTTCTAAAACAACACAAGATTTAAAATTAGTAGTCTACAGCTGTGTGTGATGGCTCACACCTTAATCCTAGCCCTCTGGAGGCAGAGGAGGGATTGCTCGATGTCAGGAGTTCGAACCAGTCTGAGGGAGACCCTGTCTCTGCTAAAAATAGAAAGAAACTAATGACCAACTAAATATATATAACACAAAAAATAGCCGGGCATGGTGGCGCATGCCTGTAGTCTCACTACTCAGGAGCTAGGCAGGAGGATCACTTGAGCCAGGAGATTGAGGTTGCTGTGAGCTAGGCTGACTCCACGGCATCACTGTAGCCCAGGCAACAAAGTGAGACTTCTGTCTCAAAAAAAAAAAAAATTATATTCTACCTAATGTAGCCTTATAAAATTATATAAAGATTGCATTCAAATAGTTCTACTACCTGTAACATTGATGTTCCAGAAGATGCCATGATGTTTATCTTGGAGTTTTATGTATCCCTGACCCACTGCCTCATACCCTTGGGGCTGGTTTATGCTCATTTGAGAAGCTCGGGACCAGAGGATCTATTTGGTCTCTTGCAGCTATCATATGCTAGTAATATTAAATAAACTAGAGTTATTCTTTAGTTTTAAGAAGTTATATTTTAAAATTTTAAGGCTGGGCATGGTGCTCACACCTGTAATCCTAGCCTCTGGGAGCTGAGTGGGCCGGTTTGCTCAAGGTCAGGGGTTTCGAAACCAGCCTCAGCAAGAGGCCAACTCTACTAAAAATAAAGAAATTAATTGGTCAACTAAAATATTAGAAATTAGCCAGGCATGGTGGCGCACGCCTGTAGTCCAGCTACTTGGGAGGCGGAGGAGAGGATCACTTGAGCCCAGGAAGTTTGAGGTTGCTGTGAGCTAGGCTGATGCCAAGGCACTCTAGCTCAGCAACAGAGGGAGACTCGTGTCTCAAAAAAAAGAAAGACAATTTAAATCTATAAAGGGAAATATGATTGACTGATTTGCATGATTTAACTTCTTTCGCTAAAAATTAAGATTGCAATTCTATGTAGTGTAAGCTGTTCATCAGAAACTACATGCAATTAAGAAATGCATTGCAAAGTTAGAAAAATCCCTTGATAGTCATCTTGTTGCTTTCAATCTTTCTGCTGCAATTCTGCTTTCTTCTTTCCTGGCTGCGTAATTGGATAAAGACTCTTTTGCCACCATGGCATCTGGAGATGACAGTCCTATCTTTGAAGATGAGAAGTAAATGTCTTGCATTGCAATAAAACTAGTCTTCGAAATATCTAAGATTATTGTGATTATTTAGAAGAATTATTATCCAAGCTACTGTGTTAAGAACACATTTTGTAAAATTGCAGAATGCATGGTTCTACCTTTTTATGATTTAGAGTAAGTATAGTAAATACCTGGCATGGAATGGAAGTGCCACTTAACATGCCATTCTTTTCTATAGAACCTTAATGCAAGGTCTCCTCTCAGCACGAGGTCTTGGCAACACTTCAAATGATATAAAATCCATTTACCATCTCTAGTTTGCAGCATACAAAGGTGATAAGAGTGAAACAAAGAGAAGATGTATTAAGACAACAGGCTTATAGCCAGAGTCCTAGCTTTAAATCCTACCTCTGCCACTTAATGTCATTGGTCACCTTAGGCAAACCTTAGCCTCTCTGAGCCTCATCTGTAAAATAAGGATACAATAGTACTCATTTCCTGGTGATTCTGAGTTAATATATTTAAGCTCTTATAACAGTGACTGGCACACAGTAAGTACTTAATAGCTATTAGCTGTGATACATTATTACTGTAATAGAATGTTAACTTTTCAAAGCTAAAGATATATCAATATCAAAATTATTTATATATATTATATACAGTATATGTCTTTCACATAGGATATATACTTATAAAATATTAATATCAAATATATGTTTAATCATGCCAGAGATTTTTTTTTTTTTTTGAGACAGAGTCTCACTCTATTGCCCTGGCTATAGTGCCGTGGATCAGCCTAGCTCACAGCAACCTCAAAACTCCTAGGCTCAAGCGATCCTCCTGCCTCAGTCCTGAGCAGCTGGAACTACAGGCATGTGCCACCCTGCCTGGCTATTTTTTCACTCTGTCTCAAAAAAAAAAACAACAATTTTTCATTCTCTAATAATTGATAGTATACACAATATTTAGGGGAGAATTACAAACAATGGCAAGACTAAGTGCTGAAGCAATGATCTGACAAATTTGAAGCAATC